ATTCACACCCCCAAACGTGTTAATAATTTTGATACAACTGAAATGTGTAAATATTTGGCTATAAGAAATAAAACTTCAATACTTTTTTCTATCTATTCTTCATGAGCAGAATTGTTTTTATTCAGAATATAATTTTCATTGGTAACTGAAATTATGATATGAATTGTTCAACAGTATTTAATAAATTAGGAATATAAATAATTTTTTGTATTCATCATATTTATTAAAATTACATTAATAACAAGTTGATATTTTAATGACATATTTTCCATATTAAATTTCTTATTTTAAAACCTGTTTATTAAAAGTTAAAATCTGTATAATAGATATATCACTTTTTTTTATTTATAATTGAATAGCTACTTAATGGAAACATAGTTTCATATTAATTAATAGTTAATAGTAATAGTAAAAAATCTGTAAATATTTTTAATAGTTACTTAATTTTTTTATATAAGAATTAATTAAATTTTATTTAATATATTTTAATAAATTTATTTTAAAAATTTAATGATCAAAATGATAATTAATTCATTAAGTGTCATTAATCATAATATTTGATATTTTATGATATATTATTAATCTTATTTAAAACCTCGTTGTTAAAAGTTAAAATCTATGTGGTTTAAAGAGGCATTTTATGAATTATGTTATATGAGTAAGTTGGCATTTTAATTGTATTAATCTCATAAACATCCAGCAGTGTCTATAATTAACATTCTCTCTGAAAATATTCTAAAATCAATATATAAAGAAATTAGTACATACTGGATATTTTTTTACTACAAATATTTATATATTTTTAATTTTATTAAGAACAAATATTATTCATCACATACATTTGAAAAAGAACGGCTTTGATAATAATTTAAAAAAATTTAAAATATATGCATCGATCCAAATTTCTGCATCTTCGGAGAAATGAAGTATTTTCCGCCATGACTGTATACTTTCATTTAATCTGGATATTCCATGAATAAAGCTCATTTCTCGCAATGCATCTATAATAAATCTTGGGATAATAATACTGGCTGCATATCTGCGTCTATACATTCAATTGGCAGTAGAAATTTATGATAAAAACCCGAAGAGGCGTTATGAATCTCGATGATTACGAATTCCTGGCTCAGCGGGCGGCCGTAAGGGCGAATTTTCCAATCGTTCGCGAGATTAGCCCGATATGATTTATGTAGAGCGGCCTCAGGCGCCCGGGCCCAACTTTCCGTTCGAAATAGTTCTCGAACTTTTCGAATAAAACTTCTGGGCGCAGCTTTTATAGATTATGTACTAGCGGCGGCCGCGAAATAAAATATGCGAACAAATAGAATATGGGAAAAATACAGTAGAAGCTCTTGCTGGTAGGAAATATGCAATTCGCCAACTTTATTTAAACCAGTTTATAATTACTAAGGATTGCGTAATTACTAAGTAATATTGTAGATATTGTATGCTTTACTGCTTTTACTAATGGACCGTGAAATAGATCTATGTTATGGCAAGGCTATATTACGTTCCAGTTTCCATACAAAATGCTACTAAATACTGTCAAAATGCCATGTATTTGCTGTGCGATCAGGAGTTTCACATATAAAACGCAAAATCACTCAAATGGCCATATCTCAAAGATGCAGCTATGATAACTTTTTTTTTACTTTTGTGCGTTTTCTACGTTAGGTTTTATATCTAAAACGCTTGTCTGCACAGCACTCACATAGGATTTTGTCAGTTTTTAGTACCACTTTATATGAATACTGCATAACATAACCTTACCATATCATTGGTCTATTTTACGACAGAATCGGCCCCAAAGTCTTACCGCTTAATATAACTTAGTGTCAAGATTCAATAAAACAAACTTTTACTTCAATAATCTTATACTATTAATTTTACATATAATCAGTCAATATCATTACAACTTTATCATTTTATATCTTCATACACGTGTTGTTTCACAGAGCTATCTAACTGACTCGCACTAATGACCGTTACATTCAAATATTACTAACTACTAATTAATTTAATATTAGAATATTTTGTTTTTTTTTTTCAACTTCAATAAATATAATATACTGCTAACATTAATATTATATCATGAATAAAATATTCAATAAAAATAATATAATACCATTTTATCGTGAATTATTAAAAATATTTTAATTGAGATGAAATGGTGACAGCTCTTCTGTAACATGGTATTTCTACAGCCCATAAATTTCATGAATGACTTTAGTATCTTGATATCATGAAAGATTTTTCTAAATAACTATGTATTTAGGAAAACTTGCCAGTTTATGTAACAGCAGTGTACGGTTTAAGTAGTGTCAAAGCAGTTTCACAAAACCTTAGCTTGTATGAAATAAAATTAGCTTAATTTTTTTTTTGTTGGAATACAGCTATTTAGTTAAGCTTTGGTTTTATTTTTTGATCATGCCTTCATATCAACTTTTCAATTTAATATAAAATAATCATGTTTTTATCATATCTTTATATAAACGCTTTACCTTTTCCTTATAAAATATAAACCCATGCATTTATTGAGCTCCATAAAACGCTATACAATTGCTACTATTTCTTTGAGTTTCTTATAACACGATTGATATACAACGCAATAGCCAATTTTCATATGTCGCAGTACAAATTGGCCTGGATTGCCTGTTAAATCCGAGTATCTTATAGCACGATTTCTTTATTACAACATACGCACCCACCGCGTAATCGGAGGGTAGATTGTATATATTATATATATATATATATACATATATATATATATATATATATATATATATATATATATATATATATACCTGTGTGTAATGGTTTCACGGGCTTACTCACAGTTACACTTTCCTTTAAAAAGGTAACTTTCTCCCAAAGCCCAATAATTGAATTCAGCACTGCTGAAAAACGGGAGACAAGAAAACTTTATCTAATCGTCAATAATTGTATCACATAAAAGCACGTAGAGAAGGACCGGAGCTTTCAAAACTGAAGAGCCATCTATTTTAGCCTCACACCTACTTTAGAATTCTTTCAGTAAATACTAACGCTATCATCTGATCTATAATGCACATTCAGAAGGGCTTTTGGCGGAAGCTGAGAAAATTCAATTCTAGTTTATTGGATATGAAGAAGCGCACACAAGTCTCCGAGCAGTTTTTGTCTGCTTTTTGCTTTATTTTTCCTGATAATAATGCTCGTTGGATTATTGAATAGCTCAAGAGGACGTACATGCTGCTAAGGAGAGCGACTCAGTGAAGATGTAATCTGATATGCTACACTATATATTGGTACTTTATTGCGTCGTGAAGCCTCGAAAAGTTAAAGATTATATTGAATTACATCGGTATTTATTATGACTGAATATTTCAAATGCTTCACATTACAATGAAGATGGAATCAATGATTGAAAGGATTGGGAACTTGTGATTGAACTGGTGAAAGTAAAAATACTTCTTTACTTGTTTATGATATATAACTTATTTTAATTCATTAGTCAGAATTATTTATGTACATTTCTATATTGAAAACCAAGTCAACAGAGTGCGTGTACTCAAGCCATATAAATAATAGCAAGTACTATATCATCCATAAGTCAACATCTTTATTTACCTTAGCGTTCTTATTTTACTGGAAGCACATGCACCATTATGTATCGTATCATATATTTATAAAAATATTTACATATGAATATGTGTCATACGTTCTACGTATAGAGGTTGCCTTAAAAGTTCGATAGCGGACGCAATAACCCGACGATACATTCAACTCAAAAAAGAGATGGGTTTTCGCCATTGGCGCTATGGGGGCATTCCTTTTAGAATGAAGGTATAGACGACTGGGTATGTAAATAATATCCTGATAGTTATTCGATATGTCAATGCCATACGGCACTTCTAAAGGCAGCGAGTTATATATCGACGGATTTCTTGAAGTGTATTCGTAATATGCATCTGTAAACAGCAGATATTATTGTGCTTTGAATTATTCTATTTCTATTTCCTATACTACTTCTCATGTTTAATAAAACTTCAATAAAAATTTTACTTACACCTTGTTCAAAAATATATATTTACGTTAACATACAGTATGTATTATTATTACAACCTGTGCACTTGTCTGTTCAATCACTTATAATCTGAACTCTGAACTCACTAAAGCCTTCGCTTCGTTATGTGCTAATTAGTATTCAAGCAAATTGTACTTAATAGCAATTAATTTATCGATGTTTATTCAGCGATGTGTGCAGTTACATTTGAATTTAAATGCATTCGTACAGTTCAGTATATTGCACTAATAAATAATGAACTGAAATATAAGAGTTGTCTATATATTTTCCACCTTACTGGATACGATAGTCGTACGGTGGAGCGATCTTGTACTTTTGTCAATAGAGAAAATCGATTTCCTTCAAAGTATATTTTTATTATAAACACAACAATAATAGTAATTGTTACGAAGCTACATTTAAATTATAGCTTAGTAAGTTAATTTACGACTTTTGCGTTAATTTACGTAAATAAATTAAAAATAAGTTTCAAATATCGCTATGCCTGACTCCTGTGTTTTTGCACTCTCAATTTTTTTATAAATAATCATTTTTAATTTTCTTTTATAAATATATGTAAATTTATATAGTTTAATCACTTCATATCACTCTACAATCATTCTTATTGAAGAACCTTACTTATACCGTATAAAATGCATGCTCGATTAAGACAGCTGCCGTGCATATGCAATGCAGTAGCTACGAGTTTTATGGTAATCGCTTTCAACAATCTATTAAGATTTCTATCCACATTGTGCCGGTGTTCTTGGAAAAAACTTCATTTGTATATTAGCATAGATTTATAGAGGCATCAAGGCATTTGATTTTGTATTTTTTTGTGTTGTGAACAATGCTGCTGTTTATATTTGAATGAAATTTTAAAAATATGTAGTTCTATATAAGATATCTGAATTGTTCTACATACATTTTACTTATATTTGTTTCTTTGTTGCAGTTGCACCTCAACGTCCCCGCATCGAGTACAACACGACGCACGTGCTTCCAGGCCATAACATCAGCGTCAAGACCGGAGAACGTGCCACCGTGAAATGCGTATCGCATTACGGGAACCCGCCGAGTAGGCTAAAGTGGTTTCTTGGTAAGTGAACAGCACACATATCTATATCAATTCTATTAATCGACTATTTTGTTGTAAGAATGTGAAATCTTAGAACATTTTTGTCATTTATCCGCTATTGTGGCTACTTGTCCTATTGTGGTTACTATACGTGAAATTATGTACTTCTTGTTAAATTTATTCTGAAGATGAGTTAAATTATATTGAAACGTTTACCATAGGAGATTTTTTCTTAAAAAAAAAATCTTTAATTATGAATAGCTTCAAAATTGACTTCAATATATATATTTGTTTAAAGATTATCCCAGATCTCGAGCCAAAATGTAGTGACAGGGTTCATAGTTTTAGCTAATTTTTCCTAACACTTTTTATTGAGCTCAAATATTTTTTATTTGCGTAAGTTTTTGATATGTTCTTAATTCGACATAATGGAAAGAGTTGGATAGTGGACATATTGGATTAACTAGGAGAACCTCAGGTACTTTTCTAGGAATTTGACAAAACTTTGTATAGTGAGAGAATTGATAGTTATATAATAAAATAATAAAAGTATTGTACTATTCTTCGATCTTTCTTAGGGTTCTACGTACGTAAAATGTGTTTGCAAAAATTGTTTTACTTGTGGTTTACATATTTGTACTAGCTTTTTGTACCATAAAATAATAAGTATAGTTCTATTCTACAATCTTAATTAAATGCGCAAACTTATAGTAGTACTGGCCAAGCCACTTTAGTATACTTTTGTTTAACAAAAAGCCTTTCAATATCGACAAATTTCGAAATTATGTAATTTATAGCTTAACAAATGTTTATAGTTCAAGAAAACTCAGGAAATTGTGTTACTATTTTCTGAAGGGGCCTTAGAAATGTAGTTTACGTTCATAGTTACAAAGTTAAAATGAACAATGATAATTTCAATTCACCACAATACCCAAAAAAATAGTTTGTTTGACCAAAGCTCTAAGTTTTGCTTAAAAGCTCATAATTTTCAAAGAGCATAGTAATGTTTTGTATAATTTTTTTATGCTGATTAAAATCATCAGGCGTTAAATATAAATAAATTTCTTGTATAATACAAACACAAATCGTACAACATTTTAGAATATAATATTCGAATAGTTTATTGAAAATTGCAAATACCAAAGACATAAAATTTAGAATGTTTTCAAAAATAAAATGATAATTGATATATTGCACAGCAAGTGCATCAGTGTTGTAATTTAATAAATAATTTAATAGTAAATTGGACATCAATAAAGTTTTAGTAAAATATGTCATCTGAATGATTAGACATCATGAGAAATAGAATAGATCAAGTTCAGTTTTTAGTCAGTCGAAAAATTTACATCTTGTTAATTCACCATTTTAATAATTGAACAAACTTTCTTGAAAGATTTCTCCATTTCATTTAACTAGCAGTAGGCATTTTTTAGTTAGATCAAAATTAATAAAATATCAAAACAGACAGTTTACTTGCTGCTTTTGAGCCGAAAGGATTTTCCTAAATATCTTGAAATCATTCTTATATAAAAAATATACTAGCCTTTTGCAAACTTCAATGCATTTCTGAATATTTTATGTTATAAAAACTAAATTACATGTTACAGTGTAATTGTCCTGAGCTGAATTACATGTTACAGTGTAAACCTGGAAGCATAAATCTGACCAATTTTACAACAAAGCAATATATTTTTAGACAATCGACCATAAATTATAAAAAATGATACCTGTAATCAATTTCAATTACAAATGCTCCAGAAAACTTATAAAACCATTAAAATCAATTATCATGCCATATCATTTTGAACGCTTTTATAATTTCATATCATTTAACTCTTCCTTTACCAATCACGCAAAGGCATTTATCTTTTCTATGTATTAAACGAATCAGAGAAATAAACTATAAGGCACATATTCAATTAAGCGAAATGTGTGAATTTAACTAAACGTTGCGATTTCGTATGAAACGTGTAGAAAACTTCGCTCATTGCACGAATGTATAATTGCAGAGTAAATGTTTTAACAAACTTGCACCGAAAGCCTTGTATGCTCAGAGTACAAAGCGTTCCTGGTTATTGTTAGCAAGTCATTAATTTTGCACAGGATCTGTGGACTCATTAGGGATTTTTCTGTAAATTCATAATTTTTTAGTACAGCGACACTTTTGGTAATATATTTACTGAATATTGAAAGTTATAAATTAATTTAGGCTAAAGAAATGTCAGAAAACACACTACAGTCAGTTTTTCAACACACTTTATTTCATAAATTACAGAGGTTTTGAGACCATAGTATGCCTCATCTTCAGTATAATTTCTAACAATAAAAAGTAAATAACTACGTAACGAAATTACATTATTAATTTTTTATTATAAATTATATACCATTTTCAAACATTACACCAACTTTCTCTTTTAAGGCTAGACACTGTACAAAATTTGTTAGTTATATGTAGAAATATTGGCGCAAATCATTTTTTGCATATTATTTGCTCAGTCGATTATATTGCTCCAAGAAAATTCAATTTCTTATATCAACATTATTATTTATTATCCTATTTTCTTATAAATTCATTCATATAAATAATTTTAATATAAATTTTTACAGTAATTTTGATTTGAAACCGTTAGTCTTATTATTAGAATTTTTCTTAAGCTGCCCTTTTTTTAACAAATTTTAAGTTTCATATTGTTGCTCCAAGAAAATACAATCTTTTATATCAACAATATTATTATGGTTATATCATTTTATTATATATTTACTTATACAAATATTTTTATATAAATTTTCATAGTAATTTTGATTTGAAACTGTTAGTCTAATAATAAAATTTTTCTTAAGCTTCTTAACAAATTTTAAGTTTCATATTGCAATAATTTAGTGAAACTTGAATTTTTCAAATATTACATTAATTTTGAATTAGTGCTTACGTGGAAAAATTAATATGTCTTTCAATTTATCGGAATTTAATGCAAATTTATGACAAAAGTATGCAAAAATTGTCCAATTTTTTTACGCATATAATTATCGGTAATTATATGTGTTGAGTAGGACTTGACACAAAGATCTAACTCCATTTCAAGTAATTATACTATCTAAATCAAATCTACTACATCACAAACGATAACATATATCGAATAAACAGCTATCGGCTATAGTCAGTAAAATTCCCAATTAATTCCGAATCATAGAAATGTTTTTTTCTCTTTTTCTAAAATTTGTCATCTTACATTTTATGCAAAGGATGGGGTAACATGGGACAGTCAGGTTTCATTTTTAATTTCAAATAGATTTTACAAAATAATAGCTATCTTGTTTGAACAATGCAAAATATAACTTTTATGGGCACATTTTTCACAAAGATAATACTGTATTTTACCTTGATCTGGTATTTTGTCGGAAATATTCATCAACAAAGTTGGAATAACTTTTAATTTAAATTTTCTTGCAAAATAGCATTTTTAAATGAATTTACATTTTTATTTACTATTTTTTATTGTTTATACTTTTGCAATGGTAAAGGTACAGCTGGTCATTTTTATCCCATCCACATATGTAAGTGTAAGCTATTATAAAGGTCATATAAAATTATCTATTGAATCTAACTTAAACTTAACAATATCTTATGAATATACTTAAAAATTATATTGAGGTCTCGTAGACTAAACAACTGTGCTCAGAACCCAAAAAATTAACAACGAAAGAAAATACTTTTTCAATAGATTTTCAAACATGCACAAACATCTTATAGTGATGTTGCTAAATAAGGCCGATGGTTGGTTGCACATCGTTTGCCCTCTTCTCTCAAATATTGTTGTAAAAAAGTCCTTACATTACTTGTTTTTGAAAAATTGGTGTTGGATCTTTTAACCCAAGACCTTTTAAGACATGCACTACCCTATACTATATTAGCCATTCAAAACAACTTTGATTAGCATAAAAATCATTGCCATTTATTGGAGTATTTCTGTTACATTACACCTAAAAATATTTAATTCCACCTTGAACGTAGTGATTAGCAGCGTTGTTCAAACAAAAAATCATTCTGTACCCGAGCATAATTTGTTGATTCAGTCAAGAAACGATTTCGTATCTGGCAATATATCAAAAATTCGTTTACGATAGCACTGATATTCATTGTCTTTGTTGTGTTTACTCTGGAATAATTTGTTAATGACATAACGGCATGATACATATCCGAGCTCGTAGCCAACTCTGCACGGCAAACACATTTGTCACCGTTAATCTACTAGGCCATTGTTTAACAGACAAAAATAAAAAAGCCATTTAGATCGTTAGAGATTACGTCAAACCACAATCCCATTCGAAAATCGCAGGCGGGAGCTTTGGCTAATTCCTCGTTTTACTATTAAATAAGTCGCAATCGGATTGAGAGGAGATATTTAGATTATTTTTTATTTAAAATTTTAATATACTAGAAAACACGTTAAGAAGACTTGAAAATAAATTATATTATTATTATTTTTTTTATTTATTCACATAGCTCACAGAATAGTTCAAGAGGACTTAAATATTTAATTCTCATACATATAATACAGAAAAATATGACATAGTATAATACATAATGTAACAATTTTATGAAATATAGAGAGTAAGATATTTTTTTAATTTTTTTCATTTTTTTTTGTTGTTTTTTATTTAAAATATAAGTAAAATATGACATAGTATTATACATAACGTAACAATAACATAGAATAAGATGATTTTTTTTATTTTTTTTACCTACCTTACAAATTACAATTATCATACATTTTATAATACAGATGAAATATAACATAGTATTATACATAATGTAACAATTTTATGAAAAAAAAACACAGAGTAAGATGATTTTTTTTTATTTTAATTTAAACCTATAGCCCACAGACTAGTTCCAAGAGAACTTAAAAGTACAATTATCATACATAATACAGATAAAATTTAATATGGTATAATGCATAAAGTAACAATTTTATGAAATAACAAAGATTAAAAATGAAACATATTTGAGGAGAAATATAAAAGTTAACTAAAGTAATTATATTAATACATTATTCAAATCAGCATAATTAATATCTATAATAAGATTCTAGAGTTCAGTAACAGAACAACGTAAGTGTGGGCATTTCTATGACGGAATTTCAATATAATTTTGAAAAATTTAATCAGCACTTATTCCTTATACTATTAAATAAGTAGCAATTGAATTAAGATATAATATTTCAGCTATTTATTTCAATTATCTAAATACGCATTTAAAGCATAATATCTAGTTTATATCATATTGACATAACATAAAGGTTAGCATACTAAATTTGTTTTTTCTATAATGGATTTTATAAAGATTTTGTAGAGCAGTTACAGACCAACTTTGAATAAAAAATTACAATTGAATTTCAAGATAGTTTTAAACAATTCAATCAACGCTATTTTAAATTTGTATAGGTAAATAATTTGGTATATTGAGAAGTTGTAAGAATACTAAATTTCAACTAAACCAAATGCATTTTTTATATTTAATTTTATAATTTTTATGTTTTATTCAATTCACTTTATGGTAAATGGTTCAATTCTCTTTACCATATGTCTGCAGATCAATATAGTTTATATTGTTAATTCAATAGCACTAATCTAATAATCTAACATGATAATTTTTGTGTAATTTTGACCATTCCTAAGTTTCTTAAGGAAATGTTTGTTTTTGCTAAAAAACGGCTAATTGCTACTAATTGCTAATTTAGTTTTAATGACATTTAGAGTCATTCTGAATCGTTGAGACCAAAATTATAAGAAATATGTGTGCGTATGCCCATTGTAGACGACTCTTTTGATTTTTCTCAAAAACAAAAACTTCAAAAAACCAAAATTCTAGTTTTTTATAATTATCAGAAAATCTGATCTAACTATCTAAATCTCAATTTTTGTTGAGTCGATTATTTTCATTCCAAAATTTTATGCAATTTGCCTTAAGGCAAAATGTCACTCACACTTACTTATTTAAAAGCTTTACTGTTTTTTGTATAAAAAATAAAAAATCTTTTAATTATACGCAACACGTTTGTTTTAATATATTTTATTTTATTTATAGAAGCTTATCACGCTAAGGTTTTAAATAGAAAATTATTAAGCACCTGATAATATGCGAATAATTTTACATTCGCGTGTAGATACGCCATATTCTTCTACTTTGAGTGTAATTTTAATTTATAATATAATATTTGAGATATTTTTCTACATGAAGGGAAAAATTCAACAATTATTTTGGTCGATTTCATATAACCAAATTAGTTATAGAATTAAAATTACGATAGTCAAAAATAATGATAATTTTGGACCAGCATTTACTATGTTCTGTTTTTTCTCAATAACCTTATATTTTGAGAAAAATAAAATTGCTAAACGTACCTATTCATTTACTTCAATAATTTACAAAAAATTATTTGTATGTTTATAAAGCAAAATTTCTCCTCAAAATTTTCTTATATAAAGGAAATAAAATCATTTCAGATTCAGGCAACAAGATCATCATTTTGCTCGTAATTAAAATTAAATCCAGATTGATCCTTTAAAATTCTACAAATTATTTTAAAACTAGAACGTTGAAATAACAAAATTAAATATCTAAATATATAAAACAAAGTATATTTTATTTAATATTTTTAACATAGCTAAAAATTCCATTATCCGGCTCTGGTAGAGTTAGAACCTAGGGCGATTTGGCTAACATCGTATATTACAACCCTCATTACTGGCCAAATGGAGCAATTAGAAAGGCAACATAATACAAAACGTGATACATAATGGTGCTATTAATATTTTGTATTCTTTGTACGGGTTTTTATCTGGACAAAACTTATGTGGGCTTAAATGGACCTAATGAATATTTGTGACGTTGCATAGCTTTAAAAAAATGATGCTAACTCTTACATAAATTGTAATTGTACATTTTTATTTTTGCTAATTTTTTTATTTTTGTTTTTGTTACTCTGCATAATGAAACCTAATAGGTTCCTCTAATTGATAAAAAAAACTATTTAGATATACAAGAAGATGAATTTTTCTATTTTGTGTTTTCTAAGGTTTAATATATTCAGATTTAGATAGCTTTCAAAATTTTCAAGAATAAAAAAGTTTCCAATATAAAAAATTAAAGTCCAAAATTTTCAAATAGATGTAACTTTTCAAAAAATTCTTATGTTCATAAAGTTCAAAATCCTAAAAAAAAAACTTAATTTTCAAACTTACAAGCCAATTGGGCATTAGACCATTATATAAATATTTGTGCATGTTAAGAAAATTATATTTTTTAGTATTTAGAATGATTAACTTATTACATTAAATTGATAAAAAACTTATTTCGTACAATAGTAGATTAATGTTTCTATCCTATGTCTACTAAGGTTATAAAAATAAGTCCAATAATATTTTAAGAAAGACTTAAAATAAAATAAAGTTTTCATAAATATCAAAACCTTCAAAAAAACTTAGCTTTTAAATTTTCAATAAAATTTCAACCTTTTGAACATATTAAATTACGAGCACCAATTTGCCTTGAGACGATGCCATCTAGTACTACTTTTTTTTTCAAATAGTATCTATACATTGGGGTGGCTCTTAATATGGACATTTTTTGAATTTCCTTGGTCCCAAGGGCTCAAATGGTTCCAAATTGATAAAAAACAATTCTCTGAAAGTTTTAGCTCTTAATATTAACTTTTAGATAATGCGCATGGAAAAAAATTTGAAAATTGAAAAAAAATTGTTAGGTATAACTAAGCGACAAATGAATTGAAAGTGAAAATTCGTGTCCTTTTTATTGAAATTCGACGCTCTGCAAAATTTTTGAAATTTTTTTCATGCCATTTCCATACAAAACTTTGATTGAATTGCGCTCTATCTTAGGAACAAGGAACTTTGAAAATGTCCATATTGAGGACCACCCTTCTATACATATATGAATATTTGTGTATTCTAAGTAAATTATATTTTATTAATATTCAGGATGATTAAAACTTATTACATTAAATTGATATAAAAAACTAATTAGGTACTAGAATAGATAAATTTTTCTATCCTATGTCTACTACCCAAGGTGATGCTCAGGGGTCTCACGTTCCGTGAAAAGGTGTTTCGGTGTCGTTTTATAATTAGCAACTTAAGTTTCGTGAAAATTCACGATCCATGGTCGCAAAACTGCGTTTGGCACGTGCTTCTAGATTACGCGGTTTGCATTTAGATTTTCTACGTGCCCTGTACAAAGTCGTATACCGTATACCCCGTCGAGTTGAAATAGGAAAACACGTGTGTTTTGCTGGTTCTGCCGATATATATTGCAGGAGCATATGTCGCCTGCAACTCGGCCAACGAATTCCGAGTTGGATGCAGTATTATTGTTCGAGTTGTTAATCACGAATCGCGGATATATACCTATATATATATATATATATATATATATATATCGTTGTGCATTACTGCTATAATTTAATTATTAATCACATTGGACATCAATGACGTTCTGGTGATATTTGTCATCTGAAAGATTACACGTGATGAGAAATAAATTGATCAAGTTCAGTTTTCGGTTCAGTTTGCGCAAACCTTTTCGAAGAATTTCTTTATTAAGTTTAACTAAGCATTTTTAAAATTAATAAAATACTTATTCCGAAAGTAGTATTGTAAACATACTTTGAAAAATTACTTACTAGTCATCTGCTTACGTCGATATTTCTGAATATTTTATGTAAATTTTATGTAGCATAAGTAAATTACAAGTTATTTGTTCATTTGTGACACAAATGTCCAAATCTGAACCATGATACAGATTTCACAAGTACATATAATTATTGTGATTTTAATAAATAAGCATTGCTATAACTCACATATTACCAACAACAATTTTACACAAAATAATTTTACCACCAGGTTGGAAAGTTGACCTAACTCTGTCTCTACTATAACAATGCCATAAATTACAAGGCTGAGACAAATTAGTAGTATATATTTATAATGAGGTTTTGTGATAATAAGCACTTTTGTAAGCCCGGTACAGTACGTGAGTTAAAAAAATACTTTTTTCTTGTATATTTTTCATGGTGTCATAATTTCTATACGTGACTGCAAACTGGGTTCGCAAAGCTGCACAGAATATAGATGTTGGCAATATTTTCACAGGGATAACAAAATACTGAACCTTTTTAATAAAATGATATACTAGAAAACAGAATATTGAATAAAGTTTAGTAAAATGTCATATGAACAAAAATTAAAAATAAGTAAATGTACGTTATAGTATAATAAATAGACATTCATAATTGTTTACTGTTTTGGATTGGATATTATTTTGAAATTGAATGGCAATTCATTTACCATTACGAACTATTTTATTATTGCTTAACAAAGGTTTGTTCGAACAAACGTACTGCATCTTTCTCCGTTTGAACCATATTTCAAAATCAGTATATGTAAGCTATTATGACGACTGTCACTACCGTACTCTGGCACAACCGTACCCAGACTATGTAAATCTAAAAATATTTCTAAAATTCAACCCCACCTTTAAATCACGTATACAATATAATGAAGACCAGAAGTCGATACTGGGTAGCTAATGGCTTATAAACAAAAGAGTTCTAAACTGATCGTTGGACTGTTATAATTGTATAGTTACACCCAGTAATTTTAATATTAAAATATATTTACTTACTGTTGATTACTAATAATTTCATCTTGTTAATTTTTTTTCACAGGTCAACGAGAATTAATGCCAGTGTCTCCACAAAGCAATAACACTGAACCAGACAATCCTCGCACCTGGTCTGCAACTTCTGTGGTCGAAGTGAATGCAGACCGAGCTTTGCATGGGCAAATTTTGAGATGTGTTGCCTTACACGAATCCTATCCTGCTAAATCTCAGGATATCGAAGCCAGATTGGATGTCAGATGTAAGTGATAGTAATAATAATAATCATATTATACATAGTAAATATATCTGCCATTCTACATTGTAGAGGTACGTTGTTATCTATATTTCAGCCATGTGGTTTTACATGGTCCATCGATTTTCTTTCCCTGAAAATCAATAATGTTCAAATTACATTTTGAATATAATTTGCAAACGCTACATCTATGTCCGCGGTGAAAGAAAACAGCGCAATGTGCGAAATACGAAATTACAGCCAAACACTCAATAGCCCAAGCAATAAAACGAAGCTGTATCAAACAGTACAAATGCGTTCCGTCGAATAGACATTGATTTGTTTTTACATAAAAACAATGCTGGTACATGATATCGATTTTACATTTGTACACATGCTAGGAGGAGGACATCGGGCAATTGCAGCTTTATTATGGGAATCTGCTTTTATTTTCTATATTCGGTATATGTTGTCCAATTGATTGATCACTTTTAATTTTTAAATACATATGATTATTGGTTGGGATGTCTTGAAATATTTTATTTTGTCTCGTTCGTTCAGCGGCGCTAGGCGGCCAGTTGTCCCGTACAGCAGCATCACTCCTGCAAAAAATACTCCCATAATGATCGGCTTAATATATGACAAATTATGTATAGTTTGACAATGATTTTATTTTACTCAAAAACAATGTCGGTACATGATTTAGATTTTACATTTGTACACATGCTAGTAGGAAGACATTGGGCAATTGCTGCTTTATTATAGGAATGTGCTTTTATTTGCAATATTTGGTATAGATTACCCGACCAATTGATTTATCACTCTGTTCGCTTAGAAGTGTAGTTTTTAATTTTTTAATACATAATGGTTAATGGTTGAAAAGTCTTGAAATATGTTGTTGTGTCTACTTCGTTTAATAACGCTGCTGGGCAGTTCACTGTCCCGTACAGCAGTATCTTACGTATCATAACGAAGGGGTTAATAAATGACAAATTATGTCTATTTTGACATTTATTTTGTTCTAACATAAAAAAATGCCGGTACCTGATTTAAATTTTACATTTGTACACATGCTAGTAGGAGGACATTGGGCAATTGAAGCTTTATTAAAAGAATCTGCTTTTATTTTCACAATTCGGTATATGTTGTCAAATTGATTAGCAGTCTAATCTGTTAGCTTCACTCCTTTGGTAGTTTAATTTTCAATTCTTAAATACTTCATGGCTGACGGATGAGAGGTCTTGAAATATTTTTTGTGTCTGGTTCGTTCAGTAGCGCTGAGCGGTTTGATGTCTCGTACATCTGGATCACTCCTGCGAAAAATACTATTTTGACAAATAATATATGACAAATTATGTCTATTAGGGCAATGTTTTGTTTTTTTTACATAAAAACTATGCTGGTACATCATGTTATTCATTTGTACACGTGGGACCTTGGGCTATTAATAAGACCACATTATAGCCCGAAATTCAGTCTGTATCTTTTCACTAGTGGGTGTTAATGTGAATAAAATTTTGCCAGTATAAATTGATTATTCACCAAAATATTAGTTTTTGCAAAATATTAGTGCTTATAAAATAATAAAATCGTTGATGGTCACCAGTATCCGCATTCTATATCCGATGTGCCGCAAACTGTACACATGATTTCGTATTAAAATGTAAATTTCAAGCCGGTTACACCCGCCAATAACACGGCAGTCGAAAGCAATGACATCAATGATCCGCGAATTGAATGACATTTTCCCAATATGTATACGTTATCAAACAGATAAATCATTAAACTATTTATTTTTATGCCAAAACATTTATACTGGAAAATATGACTAATATAAAAGATTTAGAATTACTAGTCGTAAATACGATACCCAAAAAATGTGAGCCATTTTATTAATGACTTTTACTAGAGCGTTTTCAAAATCAAATTATTTATTTGTTCGGAATTGTAATTTTTTTATTGGATGCAATTGAATACTATTTATCTACATAAATAATATAATTTTTAATCAAGTTTGTAATAATTTTTTGTTAACTTTCATCTTTGCATCTTATAATGTGCAATCTATAGAATTGAGTTTGAGTTGTTTTTACACCATAAAATCAAAAAAACCAATTCATTGTAATCCTTAATTAAATTACAAAACAAAATCACCACCTCGATACATGATGTTATAAATTATTTAAATAGTTTTTAAGAGGTATAGATAATAATCGAAAATATTTAACTAATCGCAATATTTTCAATTTAAAAACAAACCTTAATAGGTTTCATGTACGCTCAAATTCTCCGGTAAATTAAATCATGTTTCAAATGCGATTATTAGAGTAGATTGTGCTGCACGCAAGCACTTTATGCGATAAATAATTTAGTTCTGATAAAAGTTATTTCAAAAGTTCATCATTCAATAAAACATTCTATGGTTGGTTTAATTAAAACTTTAATCGACATTATATATCAGTGGAAATATTTAAATTATAATCACAACATACCGCGTTTTGTGAAATACACAGACAGGTTTTATTTTCAATGAAAATTTTAGTTTCGAAATATAAATGGTAATTTATAAACAAATTGAATTGTTCGATTTATTTAGTATAACTATTTCAAAATGTTTATCATCTTACAAAGATAACTTTATTTGTTGGTCCGTTCTGTTGGTTTATTTTAGATTTTGTCATCAAAAACAAAATAGTGATGATGAACTAAAAAATATAATAGTAATGATGGAAAAAAACAAAAAATACCCTATCGTTGTTTGACACATGAAAACATTGTCAACTTAAAATTTGAACTTGAATGATAATATATGGTAAATTATGAGTAAGGATAATGTAATTTAGAAATTACTATTGCCAAAAAGCAACTTAGATTAAAAAATTAAATATAAATAACGTGTTATATTTATCGTGACATTTGAGAGTTCAGAGAATATCAATTTAATTTCTATTTGTACTTAAATGCCAATATTTGTTAAATTCATAAAAAAAACTAAATTTTATCGATTTTCCCAATAACATGATTTCGATACAAATTTTTCTCAACCTTAATGGAAATGTCAATTTAGAAAATATAAAATTGAACTTATTGTCCTTTATATTTTATGTAAAATATTCAATCCTTAATATCTGAGTCAAATTCTTCATACAGTCATCCTCTGGTCTAGAAATACAAACGCACCACTTTCCAGAATTATATCATTTTACGGCGGTCGTGACATAAAAACTTATGCTAGCTCACACACAATTTCCGGACTTGCAATCCTGCAATATGCTAGATATCAGGATTTTAAATGAAACTTTCCTTCTGCCGAATATAACACGTCATACTTGGCAAACGATTTTTGAAACGCAAGTAACATGGATTCGAAATATCACATATGATAGTGGAACATCTATATTTTATTTTTTCGTGTTGTGTTATTAAAATTTATAGTTTAATAGAAGCTTCTGTGCTCACTATTAATTGTTAATTTTTGAATAATTACATATGTATATACTACTTCTACATCAATGAATAATAAAAACTTTAAATCTTTTTTATTGGATTTCCCTGGGGACTCGTGCGTAAAGTTTGGTTTTTAACTACAAGCTATTTGTTTTACACTCGTCTCAGACAACTTGATATCGAGCAAAAATGTCAATAGTTTTCATTTTAAAATATTAAGCTTTTCGAGGCATTAGAAGAATCTAATAATAATCTTATCATAGAAAAAATGGACACACACAGGGTTGCTTTCTAATAACTCTAGAAAAATGACTTACATCTCAATAGCTCATAAAACATATATCGTTCTTAATTAAATATGCATTTTAATTATGCATTATATATATTGACATAAATAGCATAACATATGGATAGAATAACAGAAAAAATAATGTATATGTAAATAATGTATGTATATATAATGGGTACATTATATATTGTGAGAGGCAAATAATAAGTGAGAAATGAATTCTAGAGAGTGTAGTTAGAGACAATAAACGAGTAATTAGAGATGAGGTGTGTTAATAGAGACGAACGTTATATATATATATATATATATATATATATAATGTATGTGTGTTTAGGTTCAAGCAATTGCATTAAACCAGGTTCAACTTCAACCGAGTTAGTTCAATATCGATGAAGTTCAGAACTGCCAATATACCTGTATTGCTTTAGATAACTTATGAATTAGTAATGAATAAGTTAATCGATATTTTAAACTGAATATAGTACTTTAACTATGATAGAAATAGTTCCAAATTTGTAGAAATAGTTCCAATTTTACATGACAAAGATTTTTGTATCTTGAAGAAAAAGATATATGATATGTCTAATAACTTGATAAAAATCTAAACTAGTGGTGTTTTTCTTGATCTAGCTGTGAATAACAAATAAATTTCAAACCTTTGATTAATAATTTTTTATTAAAATATAGTATTTATTATATCTTTATGTGAAGTATTTTATACCCACTCATCATCAATATAAATAGTGATGTGACGGGAAAAGTAAACATTTTGAATTTATTCGAAATATCAGATATTTTTGTTGAATGATTATTATAGTTTATTTGATATTTGTTTATTTTGTGCAGGTTCCAGTGACTATTTGAAAAATTATTATTATTATTACTATTGTATATATATTTAACAGTAGTCGAAATTTTGTGTATCCTATAAGTAACTTGACTTCTTAAATGAAGTAGCTTAGAATTATTATTTTTAAAAAAAATAATGCTTCCATTTTTCTGCTTAATGCTTCCACTTTTCTTTTTCTGAGAATTACATCTAATTTTGAAAGTAATATCCAACATTAATGGTATATTGATTAAACTTTACCGATTGGATAAGTGTCACTTTAATCGCCAATTAAAACTATTAGACTTCCCAGAAGAGTAAAGCTCTCACATAGTTATATAAGTCACTTTTCAACTGAATTCCTTTTTGATTCGAGCAGTTTCTATTCGGACACGTACTAGTTCAATAGTCAACATACAAGGCAAGTAATACGAAGAGATCTCTTTGAGCTCGGATTTCTAA